TGGCGGAGCTCCCCTTTGACCCTGAGGAATGGCAGTGGGCCCCTACACGAAAATGCAGGTCGGGGGAGAATCTAAAGTTGCATGCCCTAACGGTGAAGGCTATTTACAGTCTGCTGCGACCAAAGGTGAACATAATAGAAACGGTGAAGGCTCGATGGAGGTTTTATTTGAATGTAGGAAATGAGGCAATCCGCCCCATCCGATGGTTCACCGTCACAAGGTCTAGGCCAGCGAAGATGGCCTCGCTGCAGTGACAGATAGAACATCGCTGCCTGCCCACCAACGACTCGTTGATACATCGTACATATCTAGAGCAGAAGGGGCAGGCGCTACCGTGGTGTAAATCGTGCCACACCGTCTTCCCCTCCCGCAGAATTCCAGAAATCGTAGAGCATATATTTATGCAGTGTCTGGGGACTGTCCTTACATGGCGATGGTGGATAGGATCTGGACACTGGGTCCAACTGGCCATGGGACTGGAGAGCTTATATTATGCGAGGCATGGACCTCCCCCACTGACAGTACTTTCCCATTCCCAATGAAAACGAAGTTGTAATAACAAGTTCAATAAAAAAAATACTAAAATAGAATCTTGTCCTCCAGAAACAGCTATCAATATTTTTTCTTTTGAAAGTAATAACTTCCGTTCTACTAGTATATGGTCAATCTGATCTATTGAATTGATAAAGTTGATTCGAATATGTATTTATATTATTTTATAATAAATTTTATATATTTATTTATGATGAACAAAATTTCTCCTTTGAGTCCTTTCCCTTTTTTCCTGAGAGGGCACTCAATTTTAGGAAGGCCCCCCCTTTTTTTTTTTTTTTTAATCAGTAAAACCAGCGACCACTACTAGAGGGGGTGACAAGAGCAGCCACCTCTAGTAGCTGTCCCTGGCTGCTCCATCTATTGGTGGGGAGCTGCACCTGCTGGAAACGGGGTCCAGCGTCCCTGTATGACCGGATCATCCACAAGAATAGTTCGAGAACAGTCCGCCAGCATTCGACAGCCACTGTGCAGGGTTAATGAGAAGTATGTGGGACAGCAGTACACTTCAGGGCGCCGCCTCCTCAGTCTGCACCAGACCGCCACCGCCTCTTCAGTCTGCGCCAGACTGCCAGATCCCTCATGTTTCCCTAGCGGCTACTTCCTCCTTCCTCTGAATACCCGCCAATACCTTCCGTGTCCTGTTTGTTGACCCGCTTCTTCCTTGCTTGGTCCCATTGTGGTCTTGTTCACTCTGTTCCGTACCATTGCATATCGACCATTGCCAGCTGGTGGGGTGGGAAGGGGTCGGGAAATTCTGTGGATGGTCGCAGTGAGATCTCCTGGCCCACCGTGGTCCAGTCTCTGAAGCAAGTAGTCTCTCCTGAATTCCTCCTGGTTGCACTCCTGGGCGGGCTGCCTTCCCATCAGACAGATGCGATCCAGCCCGTCTTCATTGCCCAACCAGTCCCCAGAGAAGTGCTGAATTGTTCGTGTTATGTCCTTTGATGAATGAAAACAGCTCTAGTTGGTTTTTAACTTCTTGCCACTGTACCATGAGCTCTTGTTGAATATATTGTTTTATCATGTCTGTTGCCTCTTCCCCCTCTATGCGGACCCCCTCGATAGCATGGATTCAGCATTTTCTCTAGAGAGTCCACAGACTCCACATGACCGCTCTCCTCCCTAATTTAAACATGTTGTGTATAGTCAATTGTGATCATATGTGGAACCACCTTTCTCAAACAGCATCTTTATATGTATCCCAATTAGCATGTCAGATGAACTTAAATTATTATCAATCTATCTCTCGTAGAAAAGAAACCGGCCAAAGATGACAACATTGACAAGTCATGTGTGTGTGAGGGGGCAGAGGGGGGGTGTGTACAAATAAATAGTTGCTAGGGTGTCTAAAGTTCTCTCCGTGGCAGTTCCCGAGAGTGCCCCACAAACTTTCCCTGTTCTGCGGCGAGAATGCCGTGCTAGGGGAAAGAAATTCCATGGCCAGTTACCTTAATTTATTAATTCCTTTTTTTTTTTTTGTGTGTGTGAAGGAACTTTCTCCGATCAACATGTGCTGGGAATGGGGCCCAGAGTTTGTACAGAACAAATGAGATTCTGGGGCCATTGCCCGGCTTCGGCTGAGAACAAGTAATCGTTGGTCTATTGAGAAATTGAAGACTAATTAAGAAGGGGAAAAGAAATGACTATTGCAAGCGAGAACACCGAATGCCCCCTCGTAGACCAGGCCATTATTCGATCCCCATCCCCCTTCCAGCGAGGCTCATCACTAACAAGCCATGTTCTCGTAAGCCACTTGCCCTCCAGACTATCCGGAAAGCATGACAGCATTATGAGGACACTATTCCTTCACCTACGATCCCCCGTTGCAATTAGCCTAGGCAAGGAAGAGCCAAACTCTTCCCCATCGAAATATATATATATGCTCGTCCCGATGGCACTTACCTTCTACTCTTGGCCCCCAAGAAAAACAGAGGTAAGCTGTGGCGATCACCAAAACCCTAGCCGATGCTCCTGGGGACACGCATACAAAAAAAAAAACACGCAAATCGAAAAGAACGCCGGACCTACCCAACCATTCCCCACTCCCTCGGTGGCAAAAAGGGAATAGGAGGGGAAACCAACATCTCTCGCTCTGAAAGGAGGCGAACCACTGGCCACTATCTGCCTAGCCAAGGGTTCGTATACATCGTCAAACCAAAGCCCCAGAATAGAGAAACCCTCAATTCTTCCCCCCCACACACCCCCCCTGTCCCGGGAACAGCGCTTCCCTCCAAGATACTACCTCTGCAGGATAGGGCTCCCTCACCAATCTGGCAAATAACAAGAAACTGCAGGATAAAGACTATTAAAGATGCTTCTCACTTACTCGGTATAACCATTGAAAATCACCCCCTTCCCATCAGAGGAAAAGAACATCCTCACTGTCAATACAGTGCCCCCGTCGAGAGGAGCCACCTTCTCCTCATCGACCCCAGTTCAGGACAGGCCCCCTGATCTGTCACCCCTGTTCCCTCAAAGACATACAGTTGCCACCTAAAGTTTGCCCCCGCCAGTTTCCTCGTTCCCTCCATCTCACCCCCTCCAAGCGGGATAGCCCACTTATCACCACTCCCCAGTGAAACAACGCCTCTTGCCTCTATCTGCCCCCGCCAGGGCTGATCCGCTCCGCAAAGATCAGCCCCAGGCCCAGAGTAGAGCAAGCCCTCATTTCCACCCTAACCCTCTAAAGAACATACACCTCCCTCCTTGTGTAGTCCTCGCAGGATAGGGCTCCCATCCTCCGGGCCAGAAGACCCGACCCCGAAGGAGATGTTCCAAGGCAATAACCGTACACCCCGAAACCCTTCTCAGAAGGCATACTGAAGAAAACAGACCATGCTAAAGTTAACATCAAAGCCCTTGGAACCTATCAATTCAGGCCCGTCGCAATTGATGATCTGAATGAACAAATTGAAAAAATATGATCAAGAGGATATTCAAGAATCAGATTCAGTGAAGGTCCTAGAATTTGGAGGCGCGGTTGCGAGCTCTAGATATCCGTTGCACTTTCCCACTACGGTCAGTATCAACTGTGAAGTATCTAGACTACACTGGCGTCTAGCTTCAAACCAGAAGAAAAATCAGATTTCAGCGCATCCAAAACAATGAACCGTGTTTGACCCTATGGACAACATCAAACTGTAAAGCACCAAAACTACTCCTACCGGAAAGAGTATCCGACTCCAGCTCGTAATTATTCTGAGGATGCACCCTCTCAATCCTATTAAGGATGAGAGCAGATATCTTCCAATTAGAGCCCGGTGTGAAACTGAACAAAGAATCATCGCAAAACGTGAGTTCCCATCTCTCCCAGGGTTGTCCATCCAGCGTTGTAGTGAAAACCTCCGCAAATCTGCCACTCTGCTCGCCCTCCACTTTTGTCTGATGTTGCCCGTACCTCACGGGAACTTCAACCTCCTGCCGTGTGGCATGAATGGCCCATAGCAACGGCGCACGAGGCATCTATCTCGACGATAGCTACTGGGAGACATCATCGGAGCCAACACTGCAGACTCCTGCGCCCGACACCCCTTCCCCGCTCTCATCCCGCCAACCTGTGATGCAGTAGCACGAAGCATACCCATGCTGATCCTAAAGAACGATCCAAAATGATCCACGGAGTGCGATCAACGGCTACCAGAAGTCGCCATGGCTGCTCTGGATCAAGCACCATGGAGCTCCTCGCGATAGCCCCACCAAGCTATCGAGTTGCCTGGCCATTTAAACCACCAGTCCGCGGCCCAGCCAACGTGGTGCAAAATCACGGCTTGGGCCTACTGGAGGGAGGCTGGCGGTGCCAAGCAAGATTGTGCCCAAGACAGTTCACCTCCTTTCTATTTTTTTCCAAGGGCCGAGCAGCACAGCGCATTGGAGAAAAGAGGCTCAGACACACTGGTAGTCTAACCAGGGGTTATAAACTCATCGCTCCACAGGCTGATTCATATGCTAATGATTTATTTAACAATGTTTAATAACAGATAGGAAACCCCAAGAAAAGCCGGCCTGTGGAAGCCATTAACAGCTCGAGTTATGAGCGTCTTTGAAAAGGACTAGAATTACTAAACACTGAACCATGGTTGCGCTGGACACGGACATCCAAACATCTAGACACCGACAGCGGACCCGTGTCTGGATGAAACCGGACATCCACTTATCCGGACATGCATCCAGACATCCATACAACCAGGTGCGGACAGTCTGGTTGGATGTCTGGATGTCTTATGTCCGGATGCATTGTTGAAAAAAAAAAAAAAAAAAAAACACTGCTACAGTGTACATTATTCATCTTCCCAGCAGCAGACAGGTCTTCTAACAACTGAACACATTGTTCATTCCAGCAGCGGGCACGCCACCAAAATCGAGTTTCGTAATCTTGTGTATGTTGCAGTGTGGAATCAAGTTTCATAAACTTGTGTTGTATGGGGGTGTGCTCTTTTGTTTATCAGGTTTGGACAGAGCTTGGGAGATAAAGCCCATTCTGGATGGCAGCTCGGTGATGAGTGTGCTTGGAATGAAGAGTGGGGGTCCGCTCCTCGGGCAAGCGGTAAGTCAAGTGTGATGTCAGCACCCGTTTCTTATTCGAATAGGCAGGGCGTATCCCCTTCTACCCACCCTTGCCCCCCCCCGCCCCCAAATGTCACCCCTTCCGCTCCCTTTTTTTCCCCTTTCTTTACTCCTTCCTTTGCTACATTAATTTTTTCTTTTCTCCCTTTCCATTTATCTTTTGTCTTCTCTTTTCTTTTCTTTTGTGTTGTACTCTTGTTACGATCCTCGCCGATTTCGAAGTACAAACTTGTGAGAAAGCACATTGCCGAACGAACTTGAGAGGAGAGAGAGGGAAAGAAGAAGAAGAAGAAGAAGAAGAAGAAAGAAAGAAGAAGAAGAAGATGTACACCAGCAAAGATCAATGATAATTCCCTTCTTCTTCCCAACCGCTCTCCTCCTCCTTTTCTCCTCCCCTCTTTATTCACAATTAATAATAACAAGACGTCTGGCCGCCGCGACAGCGGCGGGGACCAAGAGCGGGGACCAAGAGTAGGGGGGGAAAAAAAAATTGCAATTCCGCACCAATACCCTCTCTCTCTCTCTCTCTCTCTCTCTCTCTCTCTCTCTCTCTCNCTCTCTCTCTCTCTCTCTCTCTCTCTCTCTCTCTCTCTCTCTCACACACACACACACACACACACACACACACACACACACACACACACACATCCCGTTCCTGCCTCCGCTGGTCCCTCTTTTGCTCCACGCGTTGCCCACTCCCCATCCGCTGCCCTGGTCCCCACCTCCCCGCACCCCCTCCGACTCATCCCGTCCGTCCCCACCGCCCTTTCACGACGCAGAAAAACAATCGCGCGGGCCGTGGATCTACGTGTGCAAAAGACAAAAGATGGCAATGTATTTCTCCGCACTCTAGCGGTAGATTCATTCTCGTGAGTAGTGCAGCGAGACCCTAAGTCCAAAACGAAACGACGCGAGCTGGCCCACAAAACGACAAAAAAGATAAGGTATTTCTCCGTACTCTAGCAGTAGATTCGGTTTCGTGAGCAGTGCAGCAAGGCCCTAAGTTCAAAACGAAACGACGCAAGCGGGCCCACAAAACGACAAAAAACGATAAGCAATGTATTTCTCTGTACTCCAGCGGTAGATTCAGTCTCGTGAGTAGAGCAGCGAGGCCCTGAGTCCAAAACGAAACGACGCGAGCAAGCCCACAAAACGACAAAAGCAGATAAAAAAAGGACACAGGTGTCCCGTGGGCCCGCCCCTTGCCGCGCCGCCTTTCCCAACACTGGCAAGCGGGTCTCCGTGGGAGCGCCACGCGAGACCCTTTATACTCTTTAAGAGTGTTAAGGATAATCATGTTGAATGGCTGAACCAGAATCAATGTCCGAATCCCTCTTCTACTGCAGGTACATGATGAGGTCCCCCATAGCCATGGCCACCCTTCTCCTTCCTCTTCCTGAAGGCCGAGGCTATGGCGGACTGCTAGGGCTTTGCCCTGATGTGCAAAAGACAACTCAAAGCAGCCATGGCTGCTCTGGCTCAGGCCGCCATGTCTGACTCTGCCTCGAAGCTTCTTGATGTAGCTATACCCCCAATGGGGCCTTCCGGATGCAGCGCCCACCGAGGTCATGAAGATGGCATCCACTATAGCCAGCTAAGTACCTCTGGCGCTCCCCCTTTCTAGTCCTCGTCTTCCTCCTCCTCCAGCCAGTGCTCCTCCACAATAGCCGAGGTGGGGAGCTGGGCGCTCCTTCCTTCCCAGCAGCGCTGCTACAACCAGCGCTGCTCCAGCCAGCGCTCCAAGCAGTGTGTCGCCAAACTTGCACACCGTAGAATGAGGAGGAGCACTCCGTTCCTCCTCGAGATGTAGCGGCCTGCTTGCCTCTTGGGTGGTGACTTCCAGGCCGCACGGCCTCCTAGCAACCGGTACCTCCTTCCTTTCGGAGGGAAACATCATTGCAGACTCTGATATTGCCCGTACAGGTCCTAGACTCAGACTATTTGGACTGGTACCCACCTAGACCTAGCCTACAACTCCTGGGCCTCTAAAAATGCCGACTTTTGTCTTCTTTTGCTCGGCCTCAAGTACCCGATACATCTACCGCAACTTGGTGTGGTACCGGCCTACCTGCTACTCGAGTGTTCGTCCGTTGCTCTAAGTGTCGCGGGCCTCTTTCCCCGCCACTTGAGTGTTTTCCCAGCTGCAACTCTCAATGTCATGGCCACAGGCAAGTACCGGCCCTTTGGGCCTCCCGAACGAGCAAGTACCCTTGCGGGTCACACACGCACTCAGACCGACAAGCACTCAGACAGGCACGCAGACCTGCAAGCACGCACACACACAGACTTAGAAAACTCAGCAATAAGCAGGAAACTAAGCAAGGCATACATTTCATTGGCAAAACTCAGAAATCAGTTGTGTGTCTCAGTCCGTGTTTGGCAGGTCCTTACACTCTTCTCTTTTCTCTGGTCTCGTCTCTCTTTTCTCTGGTCTCGTCTCTCTTTTCTCTTTTCTCTTGTGTTATGAGCCTGGCCAATTTCGACGTACAAAATTCACGAGAAAGCGCAATGTCGTCCAATTGCAAAAGAAATGAATGAACTTGAGAGGAGAGAGAGGGAAAAAAGAAGAAGAAGAAGCAGATGTACACCAGCAAAGACCAATGGTAATAGCTACCAGGGAGGAGGAGATAGGGGATTTTTTGAAACCTCTCACAAAAAACATGTCGGCTCATCAGAAGGAACAACTTGATTATAGCTACCAGGGAGGAGGGGATGGGGATTTTTTGCAACCTCTCACAAAAAAACATGTCGGCTTATCAAAAGGAACAACTTGATTATCAACTTTCTGAGGAGGAAATTCGGATAGCGTTGAATCAAATGGACGTGGAAAAAACACCAGGCCTCGATGGGCTCCCCAAGGAGTTTTGGGAAACGTTTTGGGAGCGGATGGCTCCGGACCTTATGGCATATTACCATCAGGTGCGGCAGACTGCCGTATGGGGGAGTTGGTGGGCCAGGGGGTCCTTAACTTATTGCACAAAAAAGGGGATAAGATGGGCATCAGGAATTATCGCCCATAACCTTATTTGCGGTTGTGTATAAAATGCTTGTGAAAGCCCTGGCCAACCGCTTGATTCCGGTGTTCGATGATTTGATTCACCCAACGCAAACATTGTGTTTGTAAAAGGGCGGAGGATCCAGGACAACATTCTCCTAGTAAATGAAGTTTTGAGAATGACAAGAGTAATGCAGTGGTGGTCTTTATTGATTTTGAAAAAGCCTACGACCACGTTGACTAGGTATTTCTAGATAAATGCATGGAAAAAATGAACTTTGGTGAAGACCGTGAAGTTTGGTCCGAATTTTTTGGTTCAGCAAGGGGACCCTTTGGCCCTCATCCTATTTATAATACTGATGGAAACCTTTGCACTACCAAGGACATTAAAAAACTCCAGGTTTCATCCATCCAGAGGAAGCGATCCCCGTCTGTTTGATGTTCGCCGATGACTTGACAGTCGTGGTGGGCGCCTCCCCTGAGAACATGGAAGAGATCACGAAACTGATGGAGCGGTTCACGGCGGTGTTGGACATGACAATTAATTGGGGAAGCAAGACGGTCGGATGGTGGATTCACCATCAAGGGGTGCGCCCCCTGAGCTACAAGGGGTTAAATGGTTACCGGAAGTGGCCCCAATTAGAGTATTAGGAGTCGTATTGACAGCTCTTGGCAAGCTGGCCTCCAACGATGATTCGATCTTAAAACCGGCGCTTTAAAAAAAAATAGCCCAGTGGAATGACAAGCACACATCGCTAATCGGCAGGGCATTGGTCATTAACAATTTGGTTCAGGCCTCCCTTTGGTATAGGTCGGCGATTTGGTCTTTGAGCAAAGAAGCAGTTACAGCCTTGAAAATGCAGGTATCAGCCCTGTTATGGAGGGGAGACAGTAGGCTCCCCAATGTCATCAATAGGGTCGCGTGGTCTGAAGTCATCCAATCTAAAGATCAAGGGGGGCTTGGGATTTTAGACCCGGTCACCCAGACCACAGCACTGATGCTACAATGGATTAAAAGGCTCCTATGTACCCCTCTCCTACCTTGGCGAGCCATGGCTCTGGAACAGATTGCGAGACTGGCCCCTCGATCCCCTCGGGAGGTGGATCCCTTGTCCTGGGTGGAGGACCGTTTCGGGACCATCCCACAACATTCCACAATTCTAAGAGGCTCAGTTCGAGATGCGGTGAGGATAGATTTGACTAGGGATGATTTTTGGGTTAAAGCCCTTCGGGCATGGCGCCAACTCCGCTGGCCGATAGAGGAACGCCGGACAGATGGGAGGAGGTGGTGAGGCAACCTCTCTTTGGGAACATGAGTGTCACTGACCACAACGGTCGGGTATATTGCAGCTCTGCCCCTCCTTGGAACTGTTGGGTCAAGAGAGGTATTATGAGAATCCGCGGTATATGGGACGGGGAGGAAAGGACATCGAAATCAGTTGAGGCCCACTTTGAAGCACTGTCACCACATAGAAGAGAACCTGGAACAATTAATTTTTTTTATTCCTTTAGGGTGGGTGCGCATTTTGCATAGGGGGCCGCGATTCCAGAAAGAGGACTGGATAGTAATAGATAGTGATAAAGAGAATGTGGGCAGGGTGGTGGATGTGCGAGTAGATGAAGTATTAGTCACACTCTTTTGCCGGGCAGCAGATAACCGGCTCACAAGACCGCCCCGGGTTGAGACGAGATGGTGGCAGAGGACAGACTTGCATAGAATCAGGGTAGTCGGGAAACAAGAGGAGTGGGTAGCATTCCTCCCCGAGCTTCCTTCGACCCGAAAGAGTGGAAATGGAACCTGGCAGGGGGAACAAGACCGAGAGCAAGCAAGAAATTATTCGCTTTGTCTGTGAAAGCTACATATCGGCTCCTTAGGCCTCGGGTCGATCTCCAGGGCATTGTGAGGGAGCGATGGATGTCCCCCCTGAATGTGGGAAGGGAGCCCGACCGACAAAGATGGCCTCCCTACAATGGCAAATAGAATACTGCTGCCTCCCAACCAACGATTGGCTGATTGATTGTACCCACTTGGAGCAAAAGGGTTTAGCAACGCCATGTCGCACTTCCTGTCTGACTGCTTTCCTTGTCC